TCATCATCATCAGCATCATCATCAGCTGTGATGATGATATCCGCTTTTCATCCGCGTCCTGAATCAAATCTGGGTAGGTTGCAAGATTGGTGGCATCCTCGCTCGAGCTGTACCTCTCCGAGGACGTCTGGACGGCATCATCGTGGGCATTGGTATCAACGCTCCTGGTTGTCAGCAGTATATGGATGTCTTGGGTCGTCATCTTGGGAGGACTGCCTGAGTAAGTAGGCGGGTTTGGTGAGATCAAAAAATAAAGGCCATGTCTGTTTTTTGACTTGTTGGATGAGAGATGAACAGATGATCCCGCAAGTTTCGGCGTTTGGTCAGGGGAGGACCGGGGAAAAATGTTCGCTCACTTGGGATTCAGGGTGAGGTTATACGTGTATTCAGCCGCCAGCACGTCTTCGGATCCTTGTCTGTTGGGGAATTGTCTTTTTTGTGTTGCACTAATTGGATGCACTTAGAGTTCTAAGCGCAAACTCAATTTGCACGTTCCTGTTCGCTTTTCGTGTTAAGCTCTGTAGAATGTGCTAACTTCAAGAAAGAACCTCGCGATGTTCCTAGGTCAACACCTCGCGAGCTGACCTGGATGCGCAACCGGGCTTAAGGACAATGGCATTCGGACATGAGATGGGCTTCTGGAAACTCGATGATATCAACAATAACAGCTTGCTCCACCACCTTGGAAGCTCGTTAATCTAAAGTGTAAGCAAAGGCTGTCTCTCCGTCCAGACTCCGAGCCGCGCGTCCTTTCCCCCTTTGCAGCCCAGTATTGCCCGGCCTGTGTGGCCAGCAACGTCGCTGCGGGCGATCTGTGGCCATGACTTCGACGTTGCAGGGATTCGGCGGCGTCTGCTTGGCACATTCGCGCTGGAGCTCCAAAGGCGCGCGGGGCTCGCGCTTCAGAGCAAGAGCTTGGAAGGTCTTCTGTCCGAGAAGCTCTCGCTTCGACTTGGATCCTTGAGACAAACGGACTGTCATGACCCCGTGAGTCCATGAAGTCACAAAGCACGATCAGGTTCTTTCTCGGTGGCTTTGCCAGTCTGCGAGATCGAGTGAACGGCTTCGAGGTCCTACTAGGCAGTGAGGCGCGGCTGGCAAAGGAGTCAGGACAAGGTTCAGCTCTAGGGCAACGTCTCGTCCGCTTTTGGTTGGCACGGCTTTAGGATCACTCCTGACATCAGCTAGTCATCATAGTCTTCGGCCTCCAGAGTACTGGCCTGATCTGCCACTCCGAACTTCTTGCCAGGTTTGGTTTCGAGTCCACGAGTCAGAAGAGCCGGTGCATTGTGCCTTGATCGTTTGATCTCACGACAAGGTCATGCTTCCTTGGGTGCTCTGACGCCAAAGCTGGGAGTCGTGTTCCAGATTCCGCTCAAACTGGGTGACACATTGAGACTTGTTGCAGATCTTCCCTTCAGAATCGCAACGTGCTGTTGAAACCAGCCTTGCAGGAAGGATTGACAGCTCATGGGGGGCAAAGGATTGTTCATGGGATATGCTTTGAGCACTTGCTATTTTTGCTTGCTGATGCTTGCTGAGGCATCTTCGAGGGCATCCAGGAGTCGCCAAAACAGATTCGGGTCGAGAGCCTGCCAGACATTTCGGGACATGGGATGTATTCCGGGATGTCTGAAGGGGGTGCGACTGCTGTAAACCGTACTTTAGGGTTTGAGGCTGCGCCAAGTGTCTCGGCATTTTCGAGCTCTAAGCTCGACCCAGTCAGGAGGATGGGCTCATTCTGCTGCGGCTGGACTGCGGGGAGCTGCACCCCGGACCGCACAGAAGAAGCTGACGACTCGCACACTTCCACACGGGGCTTCGGCATTCCTGTGGCGTTCTGTGGATTTCAGCATGCAGCCCAGGAAGGCGTTTCCTTCGGGCGAGATCGTCCCGGGCCCGGGCGCCGCCAAGCGAGACGCGAGCTGACCGAGCTAGAAAAGAAAAGAAGGTTTCTTCTGGCTGTCAGTTTGGAGCGTGCGCGGTTCTTCAGGGAGGCCAAACAGCATGCAAGGATTGCAAGGATTGCATCATGACATAATGGGTCCTTCCAAGCAGGGCTGCTGCGGGGCCAGTAGATCTCATCGATGCTGCGCCCAAACCATGGCCGTGGCTTTGGCTTTCAGATTTTGTCCCTGCCCTGACCCCTGCCCTGCGCCGAGTCCCCGCGGAAGAGGTGGGAACCCCAAGAAGTTCAAAAGAGTGAGGCCTTGTCAAGGTCGCGTACTCTTGTTTGCGGAGGGATGGTGAAGGAGAGCTGTGGATTCAATAGAACCCCAAACATATCACCGGCCTGCAGGGAGCCACGCGCCACAGCATGCAGTGGCTCTGGCGGTTGGCCTTGGTCGCCGTGAGCATAGGCCCTGGCCTGCGATCTCGGGTTGGTATCGTCTGTTTGGCATGTGAGGGCACCTTGCGTTCTTGATGTTCTGCTCAGCCAGAAAAGTTGGCTTGGGTCGGCAGGCCTTGCTCACGGCGAGGAGGAGGCGGACAAGGTCGTGGACGGCTTCAGTGACAACGACCGTGCCAAGATGGCAGA